CAGCAGTTTTTGTAGATGAGATATGGGGGATTAATAATATATTTACGGTTCCTCGAAATACCACAGGACTAGACAGGATTTTCACTTGAAGTTTTTCCCATTTAGCCCAATGTTATAAGCCAAGTTTAGACGTATGTCACGCCATAACCACTGAAACAATTCAGATGAAATTTTCCAAAATTGAACATCTGTCAAAAGTACTAACGACGGTACTTTGTTTTCGAATCGGTGAGAATAGGTTTTGGCCAATAAATTCAATATTCCGGACCAGCGTGCAACGGTATGCTTCATTACTATATGGTAATGCCAGTATAGTAATTACCGCGCCCGTGAAATCTTAAATATGTACACATACATATATTTATGTATATATGTATGCACTCCAGTCGGCAGTGATTCAATACCATTTTGCTAAGGGGTCTGTGGAGAAAGCATGTGATCGATTTGAAAGGAGGGGAAAGGGGTTAGGGCATTAAGTCCTTCGCATGTTAATTTTAGCATATGGTATATAAATACGTATATAAGTCACACCAGGGGAGGTTGAAGGGTGGGACAAAATATCCCAAAAACCGATCACATGCTTTAAGTACGGCCCCAGCAAGTGGCACACTACGTAATTATTTGCCAACATATTTACCTAATCCCTCAGATTTTCCACCCAGTTACATAAATATGTATCATATAATATGTATCATAAATATGAATCCTAAAATTATGTAATATTACATAATTTTTTCACTGTTATAAAAACTCGCATGGACGGACAGGCTTAATTTAAGCCCGTCCGTCCATCAAAGCGTTCAATTATTTTTATCGAGTGGCTTATTTATTACTCACTAGGAACACTAGTGAATTGCGACCCCGACCTATCCATACCATTATATGAATTCGATGCATTTTTCAATTGTAGTCCGACCATGTAACAAACATACCTGTTAAAAAATTTAGTTTTCATTCAAAATTCATTCATCACGATTTTTGACTAAAGTTTTTTTTTACATCACATTCAGTCATTTTCCATCAGAGTCATTTCATTTCACTTCATCCAACTTCATTTCTTACTTCGTCCCCGTGTATTAAGTGTAGGATGAAAACGAAAGGAGTGAAAAATCCTTTCATTTGTCTAAAATTACGGAATACTTCAATGGTTTTCTTTCAAATGACAGGTAATTCATTTTCATTCACTACATATGTACATACGTACGTATCATTCAACATCATAATCAGTCAAATGAATCAACGTGAACAGCATTTGAATGTGCGTACATATTCTTCCGTGATTCACGTGGAATATTACGATCATTACGCAAAATGGCTTTACTGAATGCCACATTTCTGACAATTAGTAATAGCAATAAATCATATCGTTGTTTCTCCAAACGGTGATTCATTTAATGAGAATCGATAAGGACAAAGCAAAAAAAGCTATAAAGCAAAAGACCCTAACTCACCTTGTGTTGGCTTAGTCACGTTGATAACTAAAAAGATAAGTAAATCCGTAAGTAGACAAAAAGAGATGCCGATTTGGTAGTTGATCGTTACATACATTTAGTTTAACACACATAATTACTTTCGCTTCAAGATATTTACAAATAATGAAAAAATATCCAATTTTTGTAGGAATCGTGCTCCTCGCGTCTATTGTAAGTCACAAAAAAATATTTTATATTATAACATTTCTGTGTAATTTACTGTTGAAACTCTGCCATAGTAAATATTAATCTCTCTGTATCAAAGTTGTTACCGCTCGGTAGTAAAATTATTATTCCGAATTTGTTACCGAAATGGTACATAAAACTTTAGTACCGAGATATTACAAACAGTATTACTTATAAATATGACATTGGTAGAATCAGAAATTATATAATACCGCGTGGTATTATGTTAACGTTGAATTCGATGACTCATCGGCGACGATTCTACAATTGTAAAAATCTTTAAAAAAAAATCTAAAATTATAAAAATAAATAAATGTACATAATATGTACATTTAACAATTTTTTAACATAATATGTTAAAAAATTGTTAAATTGCCTAAGGTGCTGCTCATAAATTACGTGACGCAAAAATCGCTATTTTATAGACCCCCTCCCCCCTTTACAGATAATATGTGTAACATATGTAAGCACGAAAGTATCGTGACGATACCATAGGAACCTTAGACCCGACCCCCCAATACCCTCTCGAGTTACGAACAATTTTATTATTAATTTATGAACGACCGCTAACTAAGTTGTTGATTATACATACATATTTATTCTTCTTTTTAACTGAAAATTATATAAAAGTTGATAAAAATGTAAATATGTTTAAATAAAATTAAGTAATGGAAACCTTTCAGGTTTTGTTCAACATCATATTGCTAAAACATTTGCAGTTAAACTACATAGTAACTTTGACCAGATGTCTTACAGTGATTCTTTCTCAAGTACATTTTTATTTTCAGGGTTTTAGCGCAGCCGCAATCGTGTACAATGTGTTCGCCCACAACTACGTGTCCAAACCTGCCTGCTACGGCGAGACCTGGTCGGCCACGACGCCTCGATGGGGATTCTACTGGTGCCACTCATACGGCAACGTCGAAACCTATATTGGTGCGGCACTTGGAATTGCCGCGGCACAAATTGGACTCACCATCACGTTTATGGTGGCCTGCCTGATTTTCAGGAATAATGTAATTTTTGGACGCACATATTTATTTACAGAAACTTTGATTAGAATACTTTTCTGTATTTAGTTTTTTGATATTTCTTCCCATGATTTTTTTGCTTTTGGCTCTAACGTTTCTCAAAATCGTCAAAATTTACATACATATTTTTAATCATTTCTGGAATTTATTTTAAAATTAAAATACACAAATTTTTATCCTTTCGTTACACAGAAATTTTTGAAAATTGTTAAACCGTGTCATTCAATTGAGGAAATCGGTATTTATTTATGAGAAATCCGAATTATCAAAAAATCCGGATATCTTAAATTCAAAATATCCAGATTTGAATTCCCTAATCAATTGCGATCAAACATTTTTAATGAAACGAAATAATTACATACCTAAGAAAACAATGCAGTTTTTGTAGCCAGCAGAGAGAAATATATTTACGAATATTTTTTTCAAAATTATTTCCAGATGGTGAAGCGACACCAGGCTTACACTTGTTACATCATTTTCCTGATAATCGTCTCATTCGGACTGGTTGCGGTGGTCGTATTTCCAGCCCTGGATTTTTCGTCCGATTGGATATTTGGGGGGGCATACACTGAAATAAGGTGGGGGTGGGGAGCCTCTATTGCTTCCGTGGGGGCAAATATGGTCACCATTGCGACACTCGTTTACCACAGAAGAAGCGAAAAATAGTGGGCAAACTAATTTGTTTAAAGGATGAAAGCATTATTTATGAAAACTAGCGCATAAGCCCGTCTCCGTCGGACGTTTAGGACAATGAGTTATAGACATAGGTGCGCATCTTTCAATAGCTTTCGCCTCCAGCGACCGCCTACGACTAAAGTATTCGTTTCCAGCTTCCAGTACTTCCGCTTCCGACCAAAATTGGCCGCTTCCGGAAGTCGAAAGCTGCGCGCAACTATGGTCATACAGTCTTACATTAGGATCAGCTGGCTGAATGGTTTTGGAGATTTTGTCGGAGTAGGATTTGCAACGTTTTTGCATATCGGGATCCAACCGACTGTATAATTAACAAAGGTTAGTCTTATGAAAAAATGTACGACTCTATAACTCGTTGCCCAAAATCGTCAAAATAAGCACATTTTTAAATCATTTCTCCACTCTGAGAATTTGTTTAAATGCTCAATTAGTAGGGCAGGTTTTTGCCAATTTTTTCAATCACACGCCCAGGGTTCGGAAAAACCCGGGGTTTTACTCTGAAACCAACTACCCCGGGGTTTTACTGGGTTTTGGGGTTTTACTGGGTTTTACTGGGTTTTACTCAATGTTTGGGGTGAAGCAATAAAACTTACAATGTTACGTCAATTTGTTAAATTAATGAATTTTATCAAGATTTACCATAAAACTTCAATTCAAAATGCCAGGAACACAAGAAAAATACGAATTTGATCAAACTCCAAGTTAAGCTGAAAATTATGATTTTTAGGTCATAAAGAAAAATTCGAAATAAATATAGAAATTTACAGAATATTACTCAGAATACTTAATTCGAGTTAGATATGTATCTGAAAATTGATTCTATTGATTTATCTATTTGAATTTGAGATAAAATCTAGTAAAACCCGAGTAAAACCCTGTAAAACCCCAGTAAAACCCCTTTAACATAGTAAAACCCGCCGGGTTTTATTAATTTACGACCCAGTAAAACCCAGTAAAACCCCAAAACCCCAACCCAGTAAAACCCGGGGTCCGAATACCCTGCATACGCTCCAGATTTTAGCGCTTTTTACTTTCTCCACTGTCAGTTCCGTTGCAGACAAACATTTCCAACTTATAATATAGATAAACTCATGTATGTACATAAATAGTTAACCACCTGCCATGAATGGATGAAAACAAGAATTGAATAAAATTGAATTTTAAATCAACCATTTTGGACAAAGTTGCTTTTCACAGACACAACAATCTTATAAAGGACCGTCATCCCTATGTAAATAATATGTGTTCTTTTAGCATGCTTAAACTTATGTAAGTATTAAGTATGCATTACATTTGCATATACAAATTGCATATACATTTAAGTATGCATACATTGTAAGTATGTCACTTAGGAAAGGAAAAGTCCAATATTTTGCTGTTTGAACAAAGTAATAAATACTGAACGTATATATGCATTTTGTCCGTTCTGATTCGTATGGAATACGATTCAAGATACGTACATACAAACATATGTACAATACCCAGCTTTACCGTATTGCGCACTGCTTAGCGAGGTAATAACAAATATCATTTTGTTATCTACCCAAACCGTTATTCAATTAATACACATATGTATGTATATCGATAAGGAGAAAAAAACACGTGCCAGCTTAACTTCGCTTAGTCACGGTGGTGATTAGGAAGATTTGTCGGTTGATCGTTACTTGTATGTAGATATTTAGTTTAACACAAGTAATACATTTCACTTCAAGGTGTTTAAATACAATGAAGAAATTCGCAATTTTTGTAGGAATTGTGCTCCTCGCGTCTATCGTAAGTAAACACAACATGTTTCGTAACCTTTGTGTAATTCACTGTTTGAAATCTGATATAATTAAGCAGGTAAACCTGCTCGGTATTAAACTTTCTGCCTTGATATTAAAATTATCCTTAGATGCCTAACCATTTGCTACCAATATTGTGAAACTTTATTACCGAGCTTTGACAACACAGTATTACGTTGATACTTTGGTAGTCAGATATATGAATACCGTGTAGTATTATGTTTGCGTGGATCTCGATGACTCATCATAACAATGGCTACAATCACCTAATATTCTTAAGGCTTCTGGCATTGATTTAAAATTTTTGGACCATCAATTTGCACAGCAGGTTGTTCCCGATTTAAATATACACCAAATTTCCACACTTGAAGTATAAGACCTCACGTTGAAGAATCCTTCGGAAATTTTGAAATCTTTTGAAACTTGGTTAAAACCTCCTCGTCATTACCTTAATCAACTGACTCTACAAATTAATCGTTCATAATTTGAGAATAGATTTCCAGCTAGGAAAATAGTTTTTGATTTTGGTAAGTTTGTTTATGAGTCATCTAGTCCAAAAAACCAACGGTTTTCTAAGAGTGTTTATTTCGCAATTACAAGTATCCATATACAAGCTCATTTTTATTTGCAGTGTATCAGCGCAGCCGCAATTGTGTATAATGTTCTTTCCAACGACCACGTGTCCAACGCTGCGTGCAACCACTGGCCTGGGTCCGCCACGACGCCCAGCTATGCATGGGGCTCCTGGTGGTGCAACTGGTTCGACAAGGTCAAAACCTATACTGGCGCGGCGATTGGAATTGCCGCGTCGCAAATTGGACTAACCTTGACGTTAATGGTGGCCTGCCTGATTTTCAGAAATAAGGTAATTTTTCCCTACCATATTTTTTAACTAACACAATATTTATTTTGTCTAATTTCGCCTCATATTCTTGATTTATTCTGTAATTAACATATATATTCGTCGCTATCAAAATCTTCAAGATTTTTAATAATTTCTCTGCTCTGCGAATTTATGTTACAATTTTGGACAAAAAATTTGTAACCAGTAAGCGGACTGATAGAATCGTTAAGAATTTTTTAATTAAGTTTTAATGGGTACCACCTTTTTGAAGGCTTCTTAAACTTGAGTTGAGATCTCCTCTTTCAAAAACTGTCAAAATCTGGAATGCATATCTTTAAACAATTGGCTGTTTTAGAAATTTGAGGTCCAGAAATTTAAAATAAAATCCCATATAGGATAGAAATGATTTCAAATGTGCTGATTTTGAAAATGGGTTATCGAGTCGTACGTTAAGAATCGATCACGATCCGTATAATGAACCATTTTTAATGAAAAAAATACAAACCGAAAAATGCATTTTTGAGTTGGATGAAAATTTTCTTTACGATTTTTTAAATTTTCAGATGGAGAAAAGACACCATGCTTACCTTGGCTACATAATTTTCCAACTATTCCTCTCCATCGCTTTGATTGTAGTGGTTCTCATCCCAGCGACGGATCTGTGGCCGGAATCCTTCACAGAAATAGACTGGGGATGGGGCACCTCTCTTCTTTCCGTGGCGGGATATTTCTTAGCCATTTTGACCCTCATTTTGCACCGAAGAAGCGAGAAAGCAGGCGAATTTGTTTGACTGGATTGATACAATATTTATAGAAATTCTTCGTTTTTAATAGATTACTTTGTAATTGGTTTTTGATTGCGTTAAACTAATTACTAAAAATTGAGGAGGCTTTATATTAATAAGAATACATTGACGCAATTAACGCCAATCTTCGTAAATTCTTTCTTACCAAGATCAGCATACGATCCAAAAACATGCTCTACATCTTCCTCAGATTTTGTAATTTGGTTGGTAACCAAAAATTATCGCAGAAAAGTTTACACGCGTGGTTACGGGATTACGAAGGTTGACGTGAATTGGCTCATTATAAGTTACCATAATAATTAACTGGTGTGAAAGGAATCCATATTTATCAGAGGTGGGCAAGATCAAAGTTTTCGAAGATCAAGATAAAAGATCAAGATCAATTTTTGCGCCCCACAAGATAAAGATCAAGATAAAGATAAATCTGCAGAATACTGAAGATAAAAGATCAAGATCAAGATCAAATCCCAGATCAAGATCAAGATCACAAGATCAAATAAATTCCAGATATGTTGCAAATATTTTTTATACATATATAAACCGATAAATACAACTAGGTGTAATATATGTACGTAGTGTGCACTGTGCACATTACAAATACTAGATAAGTAACGAAAATTGGTTGTCTGACCAATTTTAGTTATTCAAAGCTGACAGCGTCAACGTTGTTATAATTTCGTATAGTTACATATATAATACATAACAAAATATTTGCTCTGATGTTTTAAGTTGCCCTTATACTTCATTTCTTGGTAAATTAAGTAATAGTTGAAGTATCCGGTCGACGGGCTAACAATATTCGCATTTTTAGGAAATAGATCGCCGTTTGAAGAACTGATTCCATTAATCAGTAAAAAAAAATTAAATCCCGTACGAGTGTTTTTCGTTTCCTTGCAAGTACTTTGAGTAGGTGATATTTTTAAAATATCAATGTTTCAAAATGCTACTTTTCATATTTGGGATTTGTTTGATCTTGAACTTAATATCTTGAATGTGTTGAAGATCAAGATCAAGATAGAAGATCTTACCGAGCCAGATCAAGATCAAGATCAAGATCAAAAGCTCCAGCCGAAGATCAAAGATCAAGATATTATCTTGATCTTTGATCTTGATCTGCTATCTGACAAGGGAACCTTAAGTACTGTCACCTCTAGATTTCCTTCGGAATAGCCTTAATCGACAGATAATTTAGTGAAACTAAAACTTTGTCATAGAACATGCGGTGCAAAATCGCGTTTTCGCGAAATATTTCGCGAGAACTGCACCAAAACCTGCCATTTGCCCAATGCTTTTAACATAGCCACCAGCCTTTCGAATGATGAAATGAACTTTATAGAATCTCAATAAATTCTATTTGTACCCGTCCGCGTAATTTCAGCCGGATCACGAATATGCAAAAAATGATGCAAAGATTCGCAATTTTTTTGCAAATTGCGAAAATATAAAAATATCCGCAAATTTGAATTTCTTTGTTTTTTTAAATTCAACAAATTGATCAGTTTAACTGATATAAAATATACTTTTCTCATTGTAAAAAATTTGCACAAATTTGCAAAAAATCGAACTTCGCAATTTTTCATGAAGATAAGTTAAATAATCTATTTTTACTTGGTTTTCGTAATTATTTGTGGTATTTATTTTAGCAAGTTGCAAAAACTTAGTGTGTGCAATTTTTTAGTCCAATATGTAGAATTTTTTGCAATGTTAGCATGTTTTAATTGTTCAACAAATTAGCTTTTCCTTTACTCGATCATACCTGCATATATGACAATTCTTAAGTTTCTATAAAAAGCGAAATTTAAAAATTGTAAACTTCATTTTTTTTGCAAATTTTTGTAATTTTTTTTCAATAAGAAAAGTATATTTTATATCAGTTAAACTGATTAAACTGATTTGTTGAATTTAAAAAAAACGAAGAGATTCAAATTTGCGGATATTTTCATATTTTCGCAATTTGCAAAAGATTTGCGAATCTTTGCATCATTTTTTGCATATTCGTGATCCGGCTGAAATTACGCGGACGGGTACAAATAGAATTTATTGAGATTCTATAAAGTTCATTTCATCATTCGAAAGGCTGGTGGCTATGTTAAAAGCATTGGGCAAATGGCAGGTTTTGGTGCAGTTCTCGCGAAATATTTCGCGAAAACGCGATTTTGCACCGCATGTTCTATGACAAAGTTTTAGTTTCACTAAATTATCTGTCGATTAAGGCTATTCCGAAGGAAATCGAAAGGTGACAGTACTTAAGGCTCCCTTGTGAGATAATGATCTTGCCCACCTCTGATATTTATGTATAATTTTTGACAAATTCGTGCATCCTCAGAGCTGATTTGAGCTCGAAAATTCTTTTTATGCCATAAGACGTTTAGAACTTTTGGTTTTACTTCATGATTTTAAATTAATTGATTATTTCTAATTGATCGTACATAACATATTTTTATTGGGCTATTGTAATCGCCAATTATTATCACTTGTCCACACGGCTCAAAATAATCAATCATGCTCATGATCCATACCAAATTCTAATCTTCTTACCTATGACACATCCACACAGTTCGAATTTTTTATTTTACTTCCTGAATGAGTAATTAATCTTGATTAAAACTAATTCTTTGATAAATGATAACTCATTTCAATGAATTATTTCAAATTAATCATAAAATATTTTTATTGCAATATTGTACAGAAAGCATAATCACTTATCTACATACATACATGGCTGGGCTCCAATAAGTAATCGATCATGCTCCTGATCCATGCCAAATTCTTGCGTCATTGATGGACCTAACTAACTAAAAAGTAAGTTCATTATGTATCGAAACTCCCATGACATCAAGACAAATATTCAATCCATTAATTAATTAACCACATACATACGACATGTATGACAACCTGGGCATCCTAATGGATCATGATCACAATATGTTAGTGATAAGGCTATCCTTTGTCGCAATAAAATGTATGATGCAAGCTACCCCCAGATTTCCAGGATGTCATTAAAAAAGCTCATGTCAGACAAGTCTGTGTCGTGACGTTGATGCCGATAAGGTCGACGAATTACCCATTGTCCTCTCACCTGGTGCGAAAATGCCAATTAATAAACCATACAAATTTGCATATCAAGTCACTACGTTTTTGCACGTCGAGCAGGAATCATCATGCAATTTTTTACTCGTCTCGTCGTCTGCCTCTGCGTTTTGTCGCTAACAGCGGCACACCCACCTCTTCAAGTCGAATCGCCTCATGGGTTTCCCGCGAAAAGTCATGGGCCATCTAGAGCAGAGAAAAATAGTATCCATTCCTTCGCAGAAATTAGTCCCCTTTACAAATTGAACGATTCATACATCCCGCTAAAGTATGATTTGGACCTGCTCGTCATCCTGGACGAGGAAAACTCCGGGGTCGGGACTCAGTTCACGGTCAGGGGTCAAGTCGGGATCACGTTTCAGGTGGCGGAACCAACGAATATGGTGACATTGCATGCCAACGTGCTCGAGATTTTCAGGGTGACCTTGACCAATGTGAATGACACGGGGGAAGTTATTACCCTGGGGGAGCCAATCCTTTCCGGGGATGATAGACATTTTATGACCGTGACGACGGGGGGAGTGGAGCTACGGCCGGAAAATCATTATCAAATGGAGGTCATTTATATAGCGCCGATAAGCAGGGGGGATTTGAATGGGTTGTACCTCAGCAATTATACGGATTCGGATGGAAATTTGAAGTACGTAATCCCTTTTTTTCTATTGTCCGCCATTTTTCTTAAGCCACGCCCCTTTTTTTAAGGCCCCGCCCTCATTCATTTCGCCCTTCCCCTATTTTTTTTACCTACCTCGGCTTCTGCCCTTATTTCATATACCGCGCCATTATTCTTTATGCCCCACCTCCTTAACACAGCTTACGCAGCCTTTGAACATATGTACCTGAATTTAAATTTGCATATTTTGCCAACAGACGAATCGCCACGACGCAAATGCAGGCCTATCACGCCAGGCAGTTGTTTCCCTGTTTTGACGAACCGGGGCTGAAGGCAGTTTTTAACTTGACGGTCACGCACAAGACGAACTATACCACGGTGCTGGGTAACAGTGACGTTGCGGGTATTGAGGAGTCGTAAGTAGAGATTATTTAAGGGGGTTATGGTAATTAAAGATTAATTAAATATTTCCGTCTATTTTTAGCAACCTGCCTGGCTGGAGTATTACCACTTTTAATCCCACCGTTCCCATGGCGACGTACTTATTTGCAATGGTTGTTTCCGACTTGGATTATAGCCAAGCGCCGGAAGGACTTTTTAAAGTCCCTGTTAGGGTAAGCACATATTTACATATTTATGTATGTGATTTACGGTCGGTTTGGCGACTGTGGTAAAATTCATTATGTGGTAAAATTTGGTAAAAATATGTTATAAAAATGTCAGATTGAGTGGCACCTAATCAGTCCTAATCCTCATTTTCGCAAACAACAATATACGAAAATGTGATCATGTTTGCTAAAAATGTTTTTAAAAGGTTGGCACTAAAGTACTGCAAAATGAATGATTTTTTCGCCAAATGTGTTTTTCACTGTGGCGAAAGTAATTCACCAAAAGGGTTTTCGCCAAACTGACCATCTTTCCATGTTAGCAGGTTAAACTTTTATAAAATTTGTAATAAGTTTGTTTCCAAATTTATCTCCAGACCTACGCCCCACCTCCCGTAATTGCGCGACAAGGTGGCGTGTACTCGGCAGAAATAGCGGCGAGATTGCTGCAATTTTTTGACACTTATTTCGCCACGGATTACCCAATGCCTAAAATGGACTCGGTCCACATTCCGCACTACGATTCCGGTGAGTCAGTCGATATCAAGGTGTAAAAGTATGTAAATTAGATTAATCACTTGAGCAGAAAATTTACATACGTCATGTGACGTGATTGATTAGTCGTGATCGACACTATGTATGTAATGTCTAACATGACAATACTTGACATTGATAAGCGGTTATCAGTCTGTCTGGTATGTAACTACAGAAGGTGAAATTTACCTGTCTAATTCATTATTTATCTTGACAGGTGCAATGGAAAATTGGGGATTGAATATTTATCGGTTCGTTTATAATAATTTGCATGACTCATAATTCGCGTTAATTAATTAAGTAATTACGTGATCCATCACAGTGAGCACTTGTGAAAAACAAATTTTTCCACACGATTTCCAGGGAAGGGTATCTAATCTACTATCCTGACGAGACCTTGGAAACTGCAAAAAACCTGTTGACGGTATGTACAAATGCTTGTAAAATTTATGTATGCATGTCTTTTTAAACACAAGTTGTTGATTTGCATTTTTTACACTGTTTTTTTGATAAATTTGGTGGAAATGATTTGTCCATTTATGCACCATAAACATAAAAATTTTGGAAGAGTATAATAATATTTTTGATAAAATGGCACCCTTAAAAATAAGCTTATCCTTTTGAACATTCACCTATGTCAATTGAGACTGTGTTAAATACTTGCTAAAGGTGTACAAATATTTTAAGTAGAAATATCTACATTGTCATTCGACTTTATTTAGAGTGAAATTCGGGATTATCGTCAAAAATGACACATGAAAATTTTAACGTCTCAAATTTTCAGAGCGTCGTCTCCCACGAACTGGCCCACCAAAACTTTGGAAATCTCGTCACCTGCAAGTGGTGGGACGAGCTCTGGCTGAACGAAGGCTTCGCCACGTACGTCTCGTACCTTGGGGTTGACGCTGTCCGACCAGAATATCGTCACAAAGAGTGGATCATCAACGACGCGATCCAATACTCGATGAGGGTCGACGTTTCCGCCCGATCTCATCCGATCGTTAACGACGCCGTCACCCCGGACGAGGTGGATTCCTATTTTACCGGGATAACGTACGAAAAGGGCGGTTCAGTTAACCGCATGACGGAAAAGTTCTTGTCTGAACCAACGTACCGGAAGGGGCTTCAGTATTATTTGAGAAATTTGTCTTATACCGGGGTCACGGGGGATGACCTTTTCCACTATCTTAACGTCGCTGCTGCGGAAGATAACCGACTTCCTGTCGGGGTCACGGTGAAGGATGTCCTGGACACGTGGACGCTGCAAAAGAGTCATCCGTTGGTTCGAGTTAGCGCGGGAGGTTCGAATTTGGTGTATATTTCGCAGGAGCGGTATGCCGATCCAGATAATGTGGATTTGTGGTGGGTTCCGGTCACGGTGGTGACGCAGGATGCTCCGACCTTGGAAAATTGGGTGCCGAAGCTGTGGCTCGAGGGGAACGTGTCGATTAAGAGTGTGGAGCATGATACTACCAAGTGGATCATGATTAATCAGGATGCTACAGGTAAAGAAAATGAAATTAGCAAAAATGAATTTTAGCAAATGGCATATAAAACGTCATGAAAGTGCCAGATGGCAAAATTAATATTAAATTTGGCGAAAATCGGCATAATCTTTTTTTCACCACATGTTACCTTTAATATTTTCGCTTTCCGATTTTTCTAATATTATGAATTTTACAGTACTGTAAAACTCATATTTTTTTCATCAGTTTTGATTATGTTATGATGATCATTTTTGCCAATGAGGCTTTCGTCAAAACTGTCAGTCTTACAAAGGGTCATATATGTATAATAATCTAATTGATAAGGCGATAATTAGCTTGATTTTCTATTTTATTTATTGTTTCTTCAGGTTATTACCGAGTTTTGTACGACGAGGCATTAACCGGGCTTATCACAGATCAGTTGAACCAGGATGCATCAGTGATTACCCCGTTGAGTAGGAGCCAATTGTTGGACGATTATTTTAATCTTGCTTATTTAGGTGAGTTGAGCGGGAATAAATAAATTGGGGAACTGTGAGAGCTTAGTTACATAAAATAAAATTTATTTATTTACAACTACAGGCAAGGCGGAAATTGAGACGGCCTTAAAGTTGACGGAATACTTGGATCAGGAAGATCATTTTACCGTGTGGGAAGCAATCTTTACCCAGCTAAGGCAGGCCTTGAACTTTGCCCAGACGCTGGAAGAATATGACCCGTTCAAGGTACTTAGTATTTTTTTGCTAAATTTCAAGTTTTTTCGATGCCAATTCGTGGAAAATAGTCACGAAGGTTGTGATTTCTCGGTATTAAAATTGTTGGCGTTTGGTATTAAAAATTAATTACCAGTTCGTACAAATTTGCTACCAATAAGTTACGCCTTTAATTCCAGGCCATTAGTTCATAAGCATTTTTTAATACCACTTTGGTAGAGTCATATTTATATCTACGTATGTATGCTTGAAAATGGTTTTAAGTTTTTTTTTAATACCAATTCAAAACCTTATTTGACCTCTCGACAGATCACAAGTTTAAATTCTGATTCAACTTGCTCGCACATTTCCAAAAACTTTGAAATTTTCACACAAATTGATTTGCATTCGATGGGCTAGCTTTCCATTATTATTATTTAAATCATAAAAGTTATGGCCTCATTTCAGAACTATCTATCGCCCCGTATTGTCGCAGCTCTGATGCGTCTCGGTCGCCCGCAAAGTGAAGGTGAACTCGTTGGAGCAGTTGGAATCCTCCGCGCCAAGTTGATCGACTGGACATGCGCACTCGGTGCGCCAGAGTGTGTCAACTTTGCCATAGAGTTGTATGAGGAGTGGCAAGCAGATGATACGCAAACGTACGTAAACTAATTATGACATTACTGAATTCCAAGTTTTATTTTTATTTTTTAATGAATACACATTTTTCCTACAGAATTCTCAGAGATATCGAAGCATCAATTACTTGCGCCGCTGTGGCGAATCGTGGTCGAGCCGGATTCGATTTCATCATGGGAAAATATGTCGCCACGCCGATAACAAATCCGGCGAAGGTGCGGTATCTCAACGCGCTTGCGTGCTCACAAGAATCCGTAATTCTACAAGAGTAAGCGATTATAACTATTTATGTAACAATTAAGGCTTCCCAGCGTGTGCACTTCGATTTAACCAAATTGTCGCAAATTTAATTAGTATGAAATTTGCAAGCAACACAATCACCCAGTGGGACCGTTTGGCGGAGATATTTGCAACCAAAAAAGAGAAAACGCACATAAAAATTGTCAAGTTTTACATTTTACAAGCTTACTGCGCATTTCGCTCTTCGGATGCAGGATGATTTTACAGATCTCTTATTTTAAAATGTCATATTAATTAAATTTGCGATCAATAGAAATTTTATCAAAATCGAGAGCGTCAGCGTGTGAACCTCAATTATATAAATGTCGACCCCACTATTTAAGCTTTAAAATTAAAACCTGTTTAATATGCAGCCTCTTGGACATGACGCTTGACGCGGGCACGTCAATCACCCCAGGTCATGGGCTCCTCGTTTTGCAGCGTGTCGCCATGAACACCGTCGGACGAGAGCTGGTCATCAAATTTCTTACCGAACGGGTCGACGACATTATTACAATCTTGGGTGAAGGAAAGCCGGCACCGGTGGCGAGTGTTTTGAGCACGTTGGGCACCTATGTCGCCTCTCAACCCGAATTGGATCAGGTTGGTTAAATTACCAAGTTGGCTGAGCAGTATCTTAAAATTCAAAAATTTCAAATTTAGCAATCTTAAAATTAAAATTTTTTTTTACAGATTTTGAAATTCGTAGTCGACAATAGTGCCAAATTAGTTGAATTAACTTCCCCAATTAACGGATATCTTAACACGATTCGGACAAATATAGGGTGGAAGATCAATTTCGGGAAGAGGATTTATTCTTGGATGGCAGACGCTGTCCAACCACCCGTGACAACAGCGCCTACTGGAACCACGCCGACGGAGGGAACAACAAGAACTACGGGAACTGGATCTACAGAAGCAACAACGCAAGCTGGCGGGCAAAATTTTGTCCCGTCGGTAATCTTAATCACTGCAGTATCCGGATACCTGGTTTACAATAATCTTTAAAATATTTTATTTATTGTATGTTAAAAGTAAAGTGCTTTAGTTTGATAAAGAAGTAAGAATTTGTAATAAAAATGCATAAATAAATTTAATAATATCAACCCAATTTCTATGATTCATGTCGTGTCCTCTATTTAATCATCATCAACTTGTATATTAAATTTTTCTTTATTAATGAAATTATAATTATGAAACGATATTTCCCAATAAATTTAGTATCATATTATTTAACGTTATAAGTACATACATAGATCATTATTTGTATTCGTCGATCAAAATAAAAGTCTACCATTATCTAATTTCAAAACTAGCATTGTTTTTATCATTTTGCATGACTAAAAATCTTACCACTAGATATATATTTAAACACTTACGTACGTTGAGGTGGAAACTAAAGAAATTGATAATTTTTGAAATTTAAATTTAATAACAGTTAATGGTAGATAGTGAATTAAAAACCTTATGCCACGTCAAACTGTGATCCTACATAACTTTAAATTTCCACACTTGTACCAGATTCCTATTAGTGTGGAATTTTTCAAGAAGAAAAGATGCTAATCATATAAATATACCGACACCAAAAATAATAAGTAAACTCAACAAATTATAAATACGGATCAGATCCTCCCATCTGAGGACTTCAGTATGATCAACAAATACTTTCCTTTTAAGCAGCAGTCCTCTGGTCTCCTTTTTTGCCCTGTAAATCTGAAGATTATGAAAATTTCGGTTCCAGAATTCCAAAAATCCAAATTCTCTAATAGAACCAAGTAAAGATAAAATTTCGACCCGTAAATTCACTAGCGCCATTTCATAACTATTCGTTTTCAAAAAGATTTCTGGCGCAAATCTACACTTCATGTTTTCCGCAGCATTGTATTTTTCTTGTTGTGTCAGGGTACGTTTCTTAAAATCTGGTTGAACCGATATATCTACCATGACTTTCAAAGTATTATTCGATATTAGTTTATCTGCATCAGTTTGGTTTCGATTGTCATAGAAATATTTCTCATTTCTTATCCACCCCGCAACACCTAGTTTTTCAAAATCATAGTTAAACCGGTTTAAGTAAAAGTCTTGTGAGATATCTGAAGAACTATTTGTTGAAAACCTATGGAAAGCAATTCTGTACCCCATTTTCAATAGCGACACGAAACCCGGATTTCTCTCAACTTTTACCGGCACCACCACCATGCTCGTAAAATATGTTTCATACACTGATAAGACGACAATCATACCGAAGTGGATGACCCATTTGAGTTTTGTGTCTCTTCCACTCGTCTGTCTGAAATAGATGGCAATAACAGTGAACAAGTTGGACAAAAATTTGGTCGGCCTGAAAAGAAATATTTTAATTTCGTTAACTCCATTTCCAGTGGCGCTTATTCCAAATGCCGAAGCAATCATGACGACTAAAAGGGTGATCCACACACTCAATTTGAATGGGGTCACCCAAGCCCAGAAGCTCAAATTTTCGGTGTTTGAATGACCTCCAAATTCACAGTATCTGAATCGCGCAGCTATTGCAAATCTCAACTTTAGGCTTGCCAACTGAGTGAGTTGTTGGCCCCAATGCAAAATAGCTAAAGTCACACCTCCACAAGTCGTGTTGAAAAGCTTTGGAAATCTTTTGAAGGAAATGTTTAGCCTTGATGCTAGTAAGTCTGGCATGGTTTGATAATATGGGCACGGTTTTTTTGGTGTCACCCAAAACGACGCTTAACACCCCGTTATTTGTAATTTGGTCGGATTTGGGGAAGTGAAAATGTGAAACAAAACTTTTTTGTGGTCAAGTCTTCTACGAAGGGATAGATGTATTAGCTTCGCAAATTTAGACCTTCTTCCTACTTCACGAAGGCTTATCCACACTCGACCAGAACATAAATGACAATAAAAACCCCATTGGGTATACTCAACATATGGAACTACATTGTAGGAGAGTTCCAGCACGAGTGCAAATATTCTGGCAGAGATTATTCGGTATCTGCAATTTTTGAAGACAGGAAATTTAACGGAGGTAATTGGCCAAACAATGACAAACGAGGTTTTACAATAAGCTTGATATGCGAATGAACCAGACAAAATAAAGTCTTCGAAGCGGGTCAACTTCAAATGTCTCAGGGGTACCGTTATAGCGACATAGAGTACACATTTCGAAGTAAATAACTGCGTCTTTAGAAAACCTATGGATTTTCTAATGGCCGTTGTTTCAAGCATGAAAACCGATCCTCTGTTATCGGTTAGAATCTCGTCAAATATATCACCAGCAATTGTCACATTATTAAAAGGTATAGTGTCGAAATAATTCAATCGTATGAAACAAAATCCAAAATTTGATAATTTTAGTTTATTACTTTGAACGGAAGAAAATAAAACTACAAAAATTCCCAGCTTTGAAAACTTCATGGTAGATACGTAAGCGACTCGCCATATTAGACATATGTACAGTCGTATGTATAAAGTTATTTAAAGCTGCTTTGGAATCAATTTAATCCAGTCTACGTGTCATAGAAGGATTTGTTCCATAAAGGTTCGATATGTAACCTATTTCACCTTGAATATTTTATGTAACTACGTGGCAATATTTATGTATATGATGAACTTAAATAGCCATGTTCAAGAAAATGTCCAAGAACGAAAATGTCCAATGCTTTGCGTGTTGGAATACTTTTCGTGTTATAAAAATATTTGTAGTTACATACATATTATCGTGACATTTGACCAATCAGAAATGTCAAAATATAATATCTATGTATTGTGTATAATTAATACATAAAGGATAGCATAAAATACATATGGAATATCCTCTAAATAGATACATGTATGATTGTTCTAACTGCATAAATATTAAACAAAATATGGCTTACGTACATACTTATTTGTACGCCATCTCGCGATTGGTGTGTCGTATCTGGTATCTCCATATCATCGTTGTAGAATGGAAAAGAACTTATGCCATTCTGGGTTAAACAAGAAAAGAGCTATGGCCATTTTATGTTAAAGAAGGAAAGACCCTTCTCCATTCGTAGTCAAATAAGAAAGGGGCTTCTGATGGTGATTGCCGTGTATGAAAATGCAACCGAACTTCATGTCAAGTGGGTTCGAAGCGTGGGGGGTGTGGTGTGATAGATGTTTAGAGCAAGGTGCGGTCGATGCGAATCGTGCAATTGGATGGAGGACCGTTCAACTGCACGTTTACATACACGTGTCAGAGATCCACAATGGGATTGTTTTCGTATGCTTTGATGGATTATACAATTACATCGATACTGTCGTTTGATGCGGGTAGGATTGGAAATTCAATTTTATTTTGGGCAGTTATATACATAGGTCGGAGTACTCCGGGCTTGGAGTACGTACTCGCGTACTCCGGAGGCCGGAGTACGCGACTTTTTCTGGAGTACGAAGTACGCGGAGGCCGGAGTACGAGTGGCTGGCCGGAGTACGGAGTACGCAAAATATCCGATTTATGGTTATATATTCATTTGTATTCATTTATTTAGATACACATATTAAGCTGATATTTTGTATAAGTTAAATGTCACTATATTCGCTTAACAACTATTTACGCTCTATCTGTTTTGTATATTAAATCAAATGTAGAAGTAGATTCCCTAATATGCTACAGTTAAGGAATTTTTGTCTGCTCAGATTTAAGAATGAATACGGCATTCCTTTCACGGAAAAGTGTTTTAGATAATTTATTATATGGTACCTGTACCCGGTTCCGTATGTCTATGTATAAAACTGTTGTTACGGTTGGCTAGCAGCCGTATCGCAATATGTGAAAATTACCCTGCCCATATTTTATTTAAAACATCAGACGTCAAGGCCGACCAATTTGTCGGCGGCGGCTCCAACTTTTTAAGATTTTCTAGCGGCGTCGGTGGTCCGGCGCCTTAATGTTGTAGGTATAGGGAATCCGATGTATCGGGGCAAAATACCGGCGTCTGGTGCCGTGAAATCGGTGACGTTGACATCTGTAACACATACTTCAACTGATTTTCAATCATGAAACATTAAATATTAGAAATTATTGCTAGCTCAAATTCACTCACGAGCACGCTGCAACCCGGCCACATCTAGGATTCCAATGTTGGCGTGACAGCATGTAAAACTCTACCGCCGCCTCGGCTGACGAATTTCGGCGTCGATCTCTGTCCTATGTTCATATGCGTTTCGAAACAAGACAAGGCAACGTACGAACTAAATTAGAACTTAAACTTCAATTTGTCAATATATGTACATCCACCCACTTAAACATTGTAAGTAGCCCTAACAACTTTTACGGATACAGTTTTAGCAAGGCATTATATTTAGCTGGTAGAGCAATTAGAGGGTGGCAAATCTAAATCTATGTGTGTACGAGCAGAGTACCAGTCTCAAAGCGGGACTAGAAGCGAATGATGGATTAAACATACTTTTCCAAATGTACGAATTATCTTATTGCAATAAGTCGCGGGAATTGGTCACCATGAAAGGTGAAATAAAAGTCCAAACTATGTAGAACTTGAATGATTTTTTGGACAAACTTACAACAAGATACATATAATGACGTGCAAAAGCTTGAATTTATCTAGAAACTCATCAACTAGATATCATTTTAGAAATTTACAGTTACAAATATTGAACATGTGGGGCTATTGTGAGACCGAAACCTACAGCACATCACATGACCGCACGTAATCTTAACTGTCCATGTACGTATCGAATTTCTATTAATTCGAAACCTTTCAAGAATAAACGATCCTAATCCGATCAATATACACACACCAAAAATAATAAATAAACTAAACAAATTATTAATACGAATCAGATCATCCCATCTAAGCATTTCTGAATGATAAGCAAACAGTTTCCGTTTACGCAATAACTCCCATGTATCCTGTTTCATCTTAACCATGGCAACATTATCGAAATTGCTGTTCCAAATTTCAAGAAATCCAAATTCTCGAATGGCCTCGAGTAAATACAAAACCTCAACCCGTACACTTACATATGCCAACTCATAACTGTGTTTTTCCAAAAATATTTCTGGCGCGAATCTACATTTAATGTTCGTCGCAGAATTGTCCTTTTCCTGAAGTACTAGGGCGCGTTTTTTGTCGATTGGTTCTACAACCATATCCGTCATGACCTTCAAAGTTCGATTGGATAAGAATTCGTCTGGGTGAGCTCCGTTTCTATTTTCATGGAAATATGTCGCATTTCTTATCCATCCCGCGATACCTAGTTTTTCAAAATCATGATTAAACCGGTCTAAGTAAGCGTCTTGTGAGATGTCTACTGAACTATTCGTTG